CTCTCTGATAGCGGGTTCTATAGTCACCCGTGGTATGGTTTATTTACAGTCGTGTCATTACGATTTCGTGAGACATATTTTTTTATTTATGTAACATAAAAATTAATAATTTTGTACTAAAAGAACCTTAGAAAACTTACCTAACCTTATTATAACAAGCACAATTTGATTTAATCTAATTCAATTAAATATATTATATATAAGTTTACAGTAATTTAATAATAAACAAGCACAATGAAATACATTTTTTCGTTAGATTCAGAATGATTTTTGCGAAATTAGTGCATACACAAATTCCCACTTGCCTTATTGGGCAAGAAGACCGTTGCTATTTAAGCCAAAAGCGCAAGTTTTATCTATTCGGCACGATGCACGATATATATATATATATATATAATATATATATATATATATATATATATATAATATATATATATATATATATATATATATAATATATATATATAAATATATAAATATATATATATATATATATATATATATATATATATATATATATATATATATATATATATATATATATATCGTGCCAAATATATTAAAACTGGTCAATTAGCCAATTAGCAAGAACTCATTTAAAAATAAGTCCTTTCTAAAATGTTCTCTTATTCGTTTAAAGATATATTTTTTCATTAATGTTAATGGTAAAATTTATAATTTTGCACCAAAAGAATCTTAGAAAACTTACTTAACCTTATTATAACAAGCAATATGTTAGCCTAACTCAACTAAATATATTTTAGATACGTTTACAATAATTTAATACTAAACAAACACAATAAAATATATTTTTTTCTTTTGGTTCAGAATGATTTTTGCGAAATTATTGTGTACACAAATTTTCGCTTGTCTTATATTGAAAGATGAGCGTTGCTATTTAAGCCAAGTTCGTAAGTTTTACATATTCGGCACGAGTGAGAGAGTATGAGAAACTTTTAGGGAGGGTGTGGTAGGTAAGTTTGGGGTGCCAGGTGTAAATGATAATGGGAGCCCTTTGATTGAACTTTGTATAGAAAGGGGTTTAATTATAGGTAATACATATTTTAAGAAAAAGAGGATAAATAAATATACAAGATATGATGTAGGGCGAAATGACAGTAGTTTGTTGGATTATGTATTGGTAGATAAAGACTGTTGAGTAGACTTCAGGATGTACATATTTATAGAGGGGCCACAGATATATCAGTTCACTTTTTAGTTGTAGCTACACTGAGAGTAAAAGGTAGATGGGATACAAAGAGAATAGAAGCATCAGGGAAGAGAGAGGTGAAGCTTTATAAACTAAAAGAGGAGGCAGTTAGGGTAAGATATAAACAGCTATTGGAGGATAGATGGGCTAATGAGAGCATAGGCAATGGGGTCGAAGAGGTATGGGGTAGGTTTAAAAATGTAGTGTTAGAGTGTTCAGCAGAAGTTTGTGGTTACAGGAAAGTGGGTGCGGGAGGGAAGAGGAGCGATTGGTGGAATGATGATATAAAGAGAGAAGTAAGGGAGAAAAAGTTAGCATATGAGAAGTTTTTACAAAGTAGAAGTGATGCAAGGAGGGAAGAGTATACGGAGAAAAATAGAGAGGTTAAGAGAGTGATGAAGCAATGCAAAAAGAGAGCAAATGATAGAATGGGTGAGATGTTGTCAACAAATTTTGTTGAAATAAGAAAAAGTTTTGGAGTGAGATTAACAAGTTAAGGAAGCCTAGAGAACAAATGGATTTGTCTGTTAAAAATAGGAGAGGGGAGTTATTAAATGGAGAGTTAGAGGTATTGGGAAGATGGAGGGAATATTTTGAGGAATTGTTAAATGTTGATGAAGATAGGGAAGCTGTGATTTCGTGTATAGGGCAAGGAGGAATAACGTCTTGTAGGAGTGAGGAAGAGCCAGTTGTGAGTGTGGGGGAAGTTCGTGAGGCAGTAGGTAAAATGAAAGGGGGTAAGGTAGCCGGGATTGATGGGATGAAGATAGAAATGTTAAAAGCAGGTGGGGATATAGTTTTGGAGTGGTTGGAGTAATTATTTAATAAATGTATGAAAGAGGGTAAGGTACCTAGGGATTGGCAGAGAGCATGCATAGTTCCTTTGTATAAAGGCAAAGGGGACAAAAGAGAGTGCAAAAATTATAGGGGGATAAGTCTGTTGAGTATACCTGGTAAAGTGTATGGTAGAGTTATTATTGAAAGAATTAAGAGTAAGACGGAGAATAGGATAGCAGATAAATAAGGAGGCTTTAGGAAAGGTAGGGGGTGTGTGGACCAGGTGTTTACAGTGAAACATATAAGTGAACAGTATTTAGATAAGGCTAAAGAGGTTTTTGTGGCATTTATGTATTTGGAAAAGGCGTATGACAGGGTGGATAGGGGGGCAATGTGGCAGATGTTGTAGGTGTATTGTGTAGGAGGTAGGTTACTGAAAGCAGTGAAGAGTTTTTACGAGGATAGTGAGGCTCAAGTTAGAGTATGTAGGAAAGAGGGAGATTATTTCCCAGTAAAAGTAGGCCTACAAGGATGTGTGATGTCACCGTGGTTGTTTAATATATTTATAGATGGGGTTGTAAGAGAAGTAAATGCGAGGATCTTGGCAAGAGGCGTGGAGTTAAAAGATAAAGAATCACACATAAAGTGGGAGTTGTCACAGTTGCTCTTTGCTGATGACACTGTGCTCTTGGGAGATTCTGAAGAGAAGTTGCAGAGGTTGGTGGATGAATTTGGTAGGGTATGCAAAAGAAGAAAATTAAAAGTGAATACAGGAAAAAGTAAGGTTATGAGGATAACAATAAGATTACGTGATGAAAGATTAGATATCAGATAGGAGGGAGAGAGTATGGAGGAGGTGAATGAATTCAGATATTTGGGAGTGGACGTGTCAGCGGATGGGTCTATGAAAGATGAGGTGAATCATAGAATTGATGAAGGGAAAAAGGTGAGCGGTGCACTTAGGAGTCTGTGGAGACAAAGAACTTTGTACTTGGAGGCAAAGAGGGGACTGTATGAAAGTATAGTTTTATCAACGCTCTTATATGGGTGTGAAGCTTGGATGATAAATGTTGCAGCGAGGAGAAGGCTGGAGGCAGTGGAGATGTCATGTCTGAGGGCAATGTGTGGTGTGAATATAATGCAGGAATTCGTAGTTTGGAAGTTAGGAGGAGGTGCGGGATTACCAAAACTGTTGTCCAGAGGGCTGAGGAAGGGTTGTTGAGGTGGTTCGGACATGTAGAGAGAATGGAGCGAAACAGAATGACTTCAAGAGTGTATCAGTCTGTAGTGGAAGGAAAGCGGGGTAGGGGTCGGCCTAGAAAAGGTTGGAGGGAGGGGGTAAAGGAGGTTTTGTGTGCGAGGGGCTTGGACTTCCAGCAGGCGTGCGTGAGCGTGTTTGATAGGAGTGAATGGAGACAAATGGTTTTTAATACTTGACGTGCTGTTGGAGTGTGAGCAAAGTAACATTTATGAAGGGATTCAGGGAAACCGGCAGGCCGGACTTGAGTCCTGGAGATGGGAAGTACAGTGCCTGCACTCTGAAGGAGGGGTGTTAATGTTGCAGTTTAAAAACTGTAGTGTAAAGCACCCTTCTGGCAAGACAGTGATGGAGTGAATGATGGTGAAAGTTTTTCTTTTTCGTGTCACCCTGCCTTGGTGGGAATCGGCCAGTGTGTTAATAACAATAATATATATATATATAATATATATATATATATATATATATATATATATATATATATATATATATATATATATATTATATATATATATATATATATATATATATATATATATATATATACATATGATTTCTCACTGCTCTTATCTGCACTGTTATTCTTTACATCATGATAGAGTTAAACTTTTTGTATTCACATCCATGTTTTTCAGAGCTCTGCATATTTGCAGCCCAGAATTCATAGATGAAGACATTTTCAAGATCTCTGAAATAGCTGTTGAGTTAAAATACCCAAAATACTTATTTGATAAATAATTTAAAATTGCCAGAAGTACATTTTACAATTCGAATAAGGACAAACAAGCATGAAAACCTTGATATACCTTCTCTACTTAAGAATTTTGAAATCAAAATTGTTTTTAAAAATCTTAATACAGTAAAAAAATATGATTAAAAATTCTCAAAAAACGCTGGTGGCTTTGTCTATAAGATTCCCTGTAAAAAAAGAAATGCAGTAAAGTTTATTTTGGTCAAAGTGGAAAAGTTTTGAACTAAGATTACAACATAAATATAGTATTCGAAATGGACAAAATTCTAATGTTCTGTTTATTAATGTGAAATATTTTAACCACGCAATTGATTTTCAAAAGACCGAGAAACTTATATCAAACAGGTCCATTGTTGACAGGAAATATAATTTAATCAAGTTCCATAAAAAAAACAGTATTGATTTTAATATGAATATTAGTTTAGGGTTAAATAAATTCATTCATTTATAATTAATAGAATTTGTGAGGAATTTACAATGTACTGACAGTGTAACATCACCAGCATTTATCGATCAGAAAGAAACTCTTCATTAAACATAAATTACGCCTCCCTTAAATATCCTCGTTCAGCCACTACAATCCAGTTCACTCTTAAACTTTCACATTTAACCCCTACAAGCCAGTCCTCTCCTAAACATCAATATTTAACTAAAACAAGTCTGCTTTCTTTAACATCCACATATAATCATAACAAGCCAACTCTCCCATACACAACTCTGATCTCTGCAAGCCATCTTGTTGCTCAACATCAATATTCATCCACTGCAAGCCAGCTCTAAAGCAACATCTCACCACTTCAAGAGACTTCACCCTTAAATGGTAACATTTGCCCACTACAAGTCATATCTTTCTTAAACAATATCTCGCTTTTTCTAGACAAGTCTACTATAAAACACCTTCATCTCAAAATCGGAAACCAACTCTTTTCAAAATACTTCCTTTATTCTCTTGAGTCATGATAAGAAATATCCATACATTTTTTTTTCTATTCTCTTATTGACAGCGTGCTGGAGTGCCAGACGACGGGAAAGTTCCCACATCCTGAGGACTGCGGAAAATACGTAGTCTGTTTACAAGATGGTCCCGTGGGTCAATTTACGGCCAAGGAAGGCTACTGTTTCGGCTTTCCCTATTCCCCCACCGAGCGTCGATGTGTTTCCCATGATCAGCAGCCGGATTGCTTCACCAAAGGGTTAAGGAACAGCCTCTCAGTCCCACATCTTAATTTCCTGTGTAATAATGGAAGGACTCAGGGTTGCTTCCATTGCAAGCTCCCATACTTCTGCATCAATAACAGCGCTTATGTCTCTCAGTGTGATGAATATGAGGCCTGTTCAGAGCATGTTTTCGGCTCACCATTATGCTTGCCATATTCTTACAACACTGACGTATGCTTTTGTAACAAAACTGGTTTAATGCCTGATTATTACAATGATACGTATTACATGTTTTGTATTGCAAATGCAAATCAATCTCATGTAACATCATACATATATGCATGCCCTGAAGGCAAGACATTCTCAAGTACTAGTAACAATTGCGAGGAATCCAAACCTCCTGTGACCCCAGAGACTCCTTCTTGTGACGGATCGACTGCAACAAGGGTCAACCCGAACGACTGCAGCTACTTCTACACCTGTCTTCCTGACAACACTGTCAGGACATCAAGCTGCGGTGTCGATAAATACTTCTTCGAGAAAAATGGCACATGCGTACCCAAGTGTTCTGTGATCACACATTCTAATGATGAATATTTGTGTCAAACCGAAGGGAAGGTATGGACTACTGAAAACTGTACTAGATACCACCTGTGTTTGAAAGAAGGAGAAAAACCGCATGCCACGAAAAAGTGCCCAACTGGATATTTTAACAGCCTGGATAAAGCCTGTAGTACACAGACTCCTCCTCCTGAGTGTATCGTCTTTGATTACAGTAAGTGTCCTGGTCATGACAAGCTGAACTGTTAGACGACATGAGGGCTATTGTTACTGTCAGAAACAGTTGTTGCTGTTTTTATTTCATTAAATAATAAGTTTAATTTATCCTCTACGTACTGTACATATCAAATAAAATTAGAGGAAAATAAATTAACACAGGATTTTTCCAAGAAATTAATCGGTATGGAGAAATGATAGAATTTATAATATTCAGAATGTACAACAAATGTGATTAAAAAACTTGATAAGTAATGAAATTAATATATACTTATCAAATGTAGAAATTTCGGAAATACACTTTAAATCCCTGACAGATATAAAATTTATTTAAATCCTAATATACCTAATTCTTTGTTAAATACTACATTTAATTGAGACGAATTTGATCAATTAAGGTGAGTTAATTAAAGAGCTAAAATATGTGTTTAAAATTTATAAATAACAATCTATAATGATGAGCGATTTAAGTCATAAAAGCACTGATTTCTCAAATCAATATTTTAATAATTTGAGGTTTGTTTTAACATGGTAGTAATTTTTTCTATGCACCAACATGCTATAGAAGCAGCACAAGTGATAGTACACACCATCAATATATAATTTAATGTTTAAAAGAAAAAATGTACAACTATTTTTTAATCCATTTGGAAAAATAAGATTGTGCTCTGTAATAAATATAAATTTGCATTAAGGTACAATTTACATGAAGAAACAAGAGAATGCAAACAAGAGAGAAGCTAGATAACAAAAATTATATTGATCTAAACTAGTCCTGTAGAGAGTAAATGAAATTAATTACTGACACAAAATTATGTAGGCAAAATCTATTAAAATTTAAGTAATGCATATAATGATGGTATTAAATACGTAATTCACGAAAAGATGCATATACAAAAATAAGAATAAATGGTCTAATAATAGCTGTTGCAAGACTAAGGAAGTACGCAGTTTCGATTCCATAGCTGCTCCTGTACACTTAGCAGTAGATATGTACTTGTGTTACTCAACTGTTGTAGTACATATATGTATATATATATATATATAAATATAATATAATATATATATATATATTATATATATATATATATATATATATATATATATATATATATATATAAAGTAGTAGGTTGGTAGACAGCAACCACCAGGGAAGTACTACCGTCCTGCCAGATGACTGTGAAACAAAAACCTGTAACTGTTTTGCATGATGGTAGGATTGCTGGTTTCTTTTTCTGTCTCATAAACACGCTAGATAACAGGGATATCTTGCTACTACAAACTTACACTTGGTCACACTTCACAGACACGCACATGCATATTTATATATACATACATCTAGGTTTTCTCCTTTTTCTAAATAGCTCTTGTTCTTTTTTATTTCTTCTATTGTCCTGGGGAAGGGGGAAAAGAATCTTTCCTCCGTAAGCCATGCGTGTCGTATGAGGCGCTAAAATCCCGGGAGCAATGGGCTAGTAACCCCTTCTCCTGTATACATTTACTAAAAAAGAGAAGAAGAAAAACTTTATAAAAACTGGGATGCTTAAATGTGCGTGGATGTAGTGCGGATGACAAGAACAGATGATTGCTGATGTTATGAATGAAAAGAAGTTGGATGTTCCTGGCTCTAAGCGAAACAAAGCTGAAGGGGGTAGGAGAGTTTCAGTGGGGGGAAATAAATGGGATTAAATCTGGAGTTATCTGAGAGAGTGAGCAAAGGAAGGGGTAGCAGTAATGTTAAATGATCAGTTTGGAAGGAGAAAAGAGAATATGAATGTGTAAATTCAAGAATTATGTGGGATTAAAGTGAAGGTTGGATGCGAGAAGTGGGTCATAATAAGCGTGTATGCCCCGGGAAAGAAGAGAGGAATGCAGAGGAGAGGGAGAGATTTTGGGAGATGTTAAGTGAATGCATAGGACCCTTTGAACCAAGTGAGAGAGAAATTGTGGTAGGGGACCTAAATGAAAAAGTAGGAGAAACTTTTAGAGAGGGTGTGGGTAGGTAAGTTTGGGGTGCCAGGTGTAAATGATAATGGGAGCCCTTTGATTAAACTTTGTATAGAAAGGGGTTTGGTTATAGGTAATACATATTTTGAGAAAAGAGGATAAATAAGTATACAAGATATGATGTAGGGCGAAAATGACAGTAGTTTGTTGGATTATGTATTGGTAGATAAAACTGTTTAAATAGAATTCAGGATTACAGTTTTTAAAAGGGCCACAGAATATCAATCACTTTCTAGTTGAGCACACTGAGAGTAAAAGTAGAGGGAAACAAGGAGAATAGAAGCATCAGGGAAGAGAGAGGTGAAGGTTTATAAAATAAAAGAGGAGGCAGTTAGGGTAAGATATAAACAGCTATTGGAGGATAGATGGGCTAATGAGGCATAGGCAATGGGGGCGAAGAGGTATGGGGTTAGGATTTAAAAATGTAGTGTTAGAGTGTTCAGCAGAAGTTTGTGGTTACAGAAAGTGGGTGCAGGAGGGAAGAGGAGCGATTGGTGGAATGATGATGTAAAGAGAGTAGTAAGGGAGAAAAAGTTAGCATATGAGAAGTTTTTACAAAGTAGAAGTGATGCAAGGAGGGAAGAGTATATGGAGAAAAAGAGAGAGGTTAAGAGAGTGGTGAAGCAATGTAAAAAGAGAGCAATGGAGAGTGGGTGAGATGTTATCAACAAATTTTGTTGAAAAAGAAAAGTTTTTGGGGTGAGATTAAAAGTTAAGAAAGGGCCCAGAGAACAAATGGATTGTCAGTTAAAAATAGGAGAGGAGAGTTATTAAATGGAGAGTTAGAGGTATTGGGAAGATGGAGGGAATATTTTGAGGAATTGTTAAATGTTGATGAAGATAGGGAAGCTGTGATTTCGTGTATAGGGCAAGGAGGAATAACATCTTGTAGGAGCGAGGAAAAGCCAGTTGTGAGTGTGGGGAAGTTCGTGAGGCAGTAGGTAAAATGAAAGGGGGTAAGGCAGCCCGGGATTGATGGGATAAAGATAGAATTAAAAGCAGGTGGGATATAGTTTTGGAGTGGTTGGTGCAATTATTTAATAAATGTATGGAAGAGGGTAAGGTACCTAGGGGTTGGCAGAGAGCATGCATAGTTCCTTTGTATAAAGGCAAAGGGGATAAAAGAGAGTGCAAAAATTATAGGGGGATAAGTCTGTTGAGTGTACCTGGTAAAGTGTATGGTAGAGTTATAATTGAAAGAATTAAGAGTAAGACGGAGAATAGGATAGCAGATGAACAAGGAGGCTTTAGGAAAGGTAGGGGGTGTGTGGACCAGGTGTTTACAGTGAAACATATAAGTGAACAGTATTTAGATAAGGCTAAAGAGGTCTTTGTGGCATTTATGGATTTGGAAAAGGCGTATGACAGGGTGGATAGGGGGGGCAATGTGGCAGATGTTGCAAGTGTATGGTGTAGGAGGTAGGTTACTGAAAGCAGTGAAGAGTTTTTACGAGGATAGTGAGGCTAAAGTTAGAGTATGTAGGAAAGAGGAAAAATTTTCCCAGTAAAAGTAGGCCTTAGACAAGGATGTGTGATGTCACCGTGGTTTGTTTAATATATTTATAGTGGGGTTGTAAGAGAAGTAAATGCGAGGGTCTTGGCAAGAGGCGTGGAGTTAAAAGATAAAGAATCACACACAAAGTGGGAGTTGTCACAGCTGCTCTTTGCCGATGACACTGTGCTCTTGGGAGATTCTGAAGAGAAGTTGCAGAGATTGGTGGATGAATTTGGTGGGTGTGCAAAAGAAGAAAATTAAAGGTGAATACAGGAAAGAGTAAGGTTATGAGGATAACAAAAAGATTAGGTGATGAAAGATTGAATATCAGATTGGAGGGAGAGAGTATGGAGGAGGTGAACGTATTCAGATATTTGGGAGTGGACGTGTCAGCGGATGGGTCTATGAAAGATGAGGTGAATCATAGAATTGATGAGGGAAAAAGAGTGAGTGGTGCACTTAGGAGTCTGTGGAGACAAAGAACTTTGTCCTTGGAGGCAAAGAGGGGAATGTATGAGAGTATAGTTTTACCAACGCTCTTATATGGGTGTGAAGCGTGGGTGATGA